GACTCCACCTCAAGTGCCAAAAAATTAGTAGCACAGCTCTAGAATTTTGGTGCAGAATATTTGAGATCTAAGATTCATACTCAGCCAAATTGCCTCACATTTTCATCAGATATACAAATGCCTTGAAAAAAAAATCAGCTCTGTGTCTTTTTGGAATATAATAATGTCACCTGGCACAATGATCACTAACTGGGGGAAAAGTCTAAATGTATTTTTGAATATTGGAAAGTGTTAGGTCTTATTAAAAATATGCATTAAATGGTTAAACAGATGGTCATCAACAGGCTGGATTGCCAGATTCTTTCCTTAGGAGAATTAAACATCAGCTCAGCAAAACATTACCTATTTAATTGGCCACAGTAAAGCATTTATTGAACAAATTTTCTCCATGATCCTATACAAAATTTTAAAGTAATCAGTTTCAGCATATCCTGTTTTTTCTCATTGTATGTCCATTTTCATAAGATCATAGACATTTATCTGGAAGAGCCTTCCTTAGACAATACGTACCTTGAGTTACGAGTGCAGATAAAACATGCTGGGAAGAATGTAAAGAAAACCTGTGCCTGTGTTCCAGTTCCCGCGGCTGCAACAAACCACCCCAAACGTAGTGGCTTGCAGCAAGATCAGCATTTATTTTCCCCCCACAGATCTGCCCTTGGGGAGGGTCGCCATGAAGTCAGCAACCCCCAGCCTCAGCCGGAGGAGGCTGGGCAGGCTGAGGGACCATGGACTCCCAGAGCGGGCGTTCACATCCCAGGCTCCTCTGCGTCTCCACCTCCCCGTGGTGTCCCCAGCCTGGTAGCAGCGGAGCGGACATACAGCATGTGAGTGTTCGGGGCTCCGTACTCACACACGCCAAGGGAGGCGTGGTGGGCTGAATGACCGTGGCCCCCAAATTCATGTTTTGGAACACCGTCCCCCCAGTGCGATAGCATTAGAGAGCAGAGCCCTTGAGCGGTAATTAGGACTAGATGAGGTTGTGACAGGGGAGCCCTGGTGAACAGGATTAGTGGCCTTAGAAGAGGCACAGCAGAGCTTGTTAACTCTTTTGCTCTCCCCAGGCCATGGAAGGACACAGCGAGAAGGCGGCTGTCTGCAGGTCAGGGAGGAGCCCCCACCAGAACCCAGCCAGGCTGGCACCCAGGCTTGGCCTCCCCGCCTCAGAACTGTAAGGAAGAAATGTGTGTTGTGGGTAAGCCACACAGTTACAGCCATGAGGTAGAGCAGCTGGAACGGAATAAGACAGCGGAAAAGGGGCAGGAGGAAGCCCCGTGGGCCCCGGCCTTGGCGGAGGTCAGGTGAAGACTGCAGATTCAGCACACGCTCCGGGAGGGTGTGACATTCCTCCTGATGAAAGGCCCATCAAAAGCTTTACGAAAGAGTTTCAAAATCTTTGGTACCTAAAAGAAAATGTTGGATGGTAAAATACCCACATGCAATGTTAACAGGCATTTCTTTTGTCATTTTACTTTTCCCAATTTTCTTAAACATCTACTCTAAAAAATAGAATAAAATTAGAAAGGAGACAACTGTGTACACCTTTCCTCAATGCCTGAGTCTGATGATTTCCTTTCAGCACCTCCCCAATCTCTCTCTTGATGCACCCTATTTCTCCATCATCCGAATGCATGTGTTTCTCAGCAATACCACACAAGCTACAGGCAGTTTGACATAAGTCAATATCGAACATGAGGAGGCAAAACCTGTAGTGGAAAGATGTGTGTTCTCATCTGTCATTCACCAGGTGCACGAACTTGGGAAGTCCATGTAACTCCTTGGAGACTCCTTATTCACAAAGGGGAACTCAAATTGCCTAACCCACTGAAACGTTGTGAGGATTAATCAGATTATGCATACGAGTGCTAGAGCATGCAGACATACCGCAAGTAGTTGCCTCGTAAATATTGTCTGGGTTTAAAGGTCTCCGGTGCTAAACATAGACCGGAATGACTTCTGCATTCCTCTAGGAGGTAGATCAGTAAAGGAAGCTCTGCAGAACAAGTCTGAAGCCAACACAATCGTCTGTTCTTTGCATTCATAGAAAACACACAACCCTCAACACTAAGGCACAATGCTAAAAATAGGACATTGTAACCATCATGAGACTGCACTGGAATTCCCTATTTTAGAGCAAAACGGTGTCCTTCTGTCTGCCTAGATAGCATTCATCTCCTAGTCACCAGTTTCCAAAGGTGATATTAATATGTAGCTTGCAACAAGCTTAAAGAGAGCGAAAGAACCAGTGAGTTAGTCCCGTGGTGCTCCAGGTACCGGACGCCAGGCGCAGGGTGTGTGTGCAGCCTCTTCGTGTTACTGTGGCACCAGCTCGTCCTCACTGATGACAGGGGACCCCACTGTAAGCTAGGACACTTCACAAATTAGCAAGTAAGGAAAAAACATAATTAAAAGAATTAGGGACACTGAATCGTAGTGTGCACAGTGTTCATTTATTTTGACAAGGATAATGTAATTTTACTTATTTAGGGTCATATTTCATAGTACACTAATGAATGCACTCTTGTCTCCTTTGTAAAAGTAATGAAATATTAGTACTGGGAGACTTCGCCGCTGGTCTCTGTTATTAAATTGCTCCTGACAGGTGAGGCCGGACCACCATGGCAGGGTTTGCGTGGGAATGGCCGGGCTGGGGAAGGGCCGGCCGAGCGTGAGTGAGTGGGAATTTGCCGGGGGACTAACAGGAAGTCTGTGCGGTGTTCATTAGCAAGTGAATGCATAAAATTTATAGAAACACGGTAGGTGAAATGTTTATGGTAGTCTCCTTTGGGGTCAGTCTAAAATTGTTTCTTCTTCAGGTAATCAGAATCGCCATTTTTAAAAAAGGCATTTTTGTATGATAAGAGGCAATACTTCAATACGTTCCTATTTCTCTTAATGAATCTCTTTTCCTCCAAGACAAGAAAGCTGAAAACCTTAGAATAACTCTTCGTCTCTCTCATTTTCTCCTCGATACATTTAATGACAATTCCTGATGATTCTCTCTTTTTTTAGCTTTATTTAGGTATAACTGACAAATAAAAATTTTATGTATTTAAGTTGTGCAATGTGAGGTTTTGATATACATTTACATTTTGAAATATCCAAATCAAGCTAATTAACATATCCATGAGTGCACATAGCAACCATCCTTCTTCCTTCCTTCCTTCCTTCCTTCCTTCCTTCCTTCCTTCCTTCCTTCCTTCCTTCCTTCCTTCCTTTCCTCCTTTCCTTTCCTTTCCTTTCCTTTCCTTTCCTTTCCTTTCCTTTCCTTTCCTTTCCTTTCCTTTCCTTTCCTTTCCTTTCCTTTCCTTCCTTCCTTTTTCTTTCTCTCTCTCTCTCTCTGAACACTCTGGAACTTAAGACCCATCTACCTTCTTTGCACATTTCAAGTGTAAAATACAACAGTGTTAACAATATTCACCACACTGTACATCATATCTCCAGAATTAGTTCAACTTGCATAACTGAAACTTTGTATACTTTGACCAATATCTCTCCATTGTTGATGGGAATATAAATTGGTAGAGCCGCTATGGAAAACAGTGTGCAGGTTTATCAAGACATTAAAAATAGAACTACCATACAATCCAGCAATCTCACTTCTGAGTATATATTAAAAAAAAAAATACAATCAGGATCTTAAAAAGAGGTCTGCACCCCCATGTTCATTGCAGCACTATTCATAACAGCCAAGATATGGAATCAGCCTACGTGTTCCTCAGGAAATGAATGGATGAAGACAACGTGGTATATATGTTAGAGTACTATTCAGCCTTACAAAGGACAGCCTGCTCTTTGTGAGAACACCGATGAACTTTGTGATTCTTCATCCACACTTCTCACACCCAGACTCTTTTTGGCTTTGTCTTTATGGCCTGAGTTCGGGACAGCCTGCACCCTAGACTCCAGCTTGCCTGTCCCCTACGTCCCTTCAGCCCCGGATAGGTGCCTGTTGGATCAATCTTCCTAACTCGTTCTCGTGAACACGCCTCCGCTCAGCTAGAAATCCTCAGTGGTCCTGCATCGTCATAGCGACAGCAATAAACCTTCATCTGCATTTCTGATTTCAGATAACTTAGACCTCGAATTCGCAAAAGTAGTGAGAGACAAAGATGGATTAGAATTTAAATCTCCCCACAAGATCCCGTTTCCATCGCTCTAAATATATTTACTCTAATTTTCCCGACACACACACAGTTTTCCAGTGTGTAATTTCCCTTAGGAAGACACATTCTTTTGGCCTCAATTTTTCTATCTCCAAATTGAGCTAGATTACCTGACTCAAGTTCCCCTCTCACCGCCATTTCTTTCTCTTTGCTTTGCTTAATTTTCAATTTACTCTTTAATCCTCTGGAATGACTCACATGATGTTCTTCTGAGACCTGGGAACTGCCAGATGCAGGGGACAGTCTCCCTCTGTCTTGGTCACCCGGCCACTTTCTAAGGCCCCTGAGGATGGGGTGACCATTCCCTCCACGACGGTCCCTCCCAGGTCAGCATCTGTGTCTCTGCTGGTTCCTAGGTCCAGGATTCGCCTCTCTGATTACCTGCTCCCAGCCTACCTTCCTGGTTTTCTTCTTCGTGTTTCCTTTCAATTTTATTATTTTTCAATATTTTGAAGTTATCTTTTTGCTGTGTTTATCCTCACTGCATGTGCGGTTGGTTTTCAACTGTCTTGGAAAGTTTCTGACTCACAAACTTTCACTGCAGCCCAGATCTTTCTCTTGAGCTCCAGGCACTGACGGATCATTAACCGGCTCGCATTTTCCCTTGAATGTCTCCTTTGTACCTCAGACTGAAGCTGACTCGCACTGCAATCATGATGTCATCCCCAAGCTCTGTCTTTGTTCCTCATTCCCTGGTTTAACAAATAGCATCCTTTCTGTGCAAGGTAGCCCAAACCCTCCCCACTCCGGTTAAATATTAAGCCTCATTTACACACTTCTGAAATCACTTGAGAATCTTCTACCAGGGCTTTAGCACAGACATTCTTTGTCTCTTCTCCTTTCCTTGGAGAGTTTTCTCCCCGGTTAAGTCCATCCTTTAGCGCGGCCAGTCAAGATCTGCTGTCTCAGCCTCAGAGGTCCTCTCGGGCCTTCCCGGTTGGAATCTTTCCAACAGCTCCAGCCCTCAGTGAAAACCCAAGCTTGTGCTGTAGAATTGGAAGTCCTTTGTAATCTCCGAAATTCAGCTTTTCTCCTATTTCAGGTCTCATCATTCTTCCAACTGGCCCTTACAGTTTGTTCAAAGCCACCATCCCTGAACTCCACACTTCCCTCCAGGACGAAGGTGTCCTCTTGCCTCAGAACCCTCAGGGCTCCTTGCAGAGAAAGCTTTCTCAATCCTCACTACATTGTCCCATAGTCATCTACTCGTCTTTCTTCTCCACCAGGTTGTGAATTTTCAGGGCAAAAATCCTGTCTCATGGATTTTTTGGGGGCCTTGGTATTTTTTTTCCAGTGTCCGGCACATAGTGGACACTCAGTGTTTGCTGTGTGCATGAACAAATAAATTGATTATAGCATTTTGCACTTTCCCAATGTGACACAAACCACCACCACCACCACCCCAAAATTGCTGTCTTTTATCCCATGTGATCTAGTCTCTCGATCGGACGATAAATTTGGCTCTGCGTCGAGCCCACTGGCATCTTTAGCCAGGCGGCACCTGGCGAGGCCAAGGGAAAACAACACAACAGAAAAACAAGCAGCGAAACCCAGCCAGGGCCCAGGCAGCCTCCCACGCTGACTTTTGGATCCGCTGGCCCACCGTTTAACACTTGAACTCTCTGCTGCTGAGATTTGGAATGAAGGAGCTTAATTAGTCAACAAGACATGACAACACTCTGTTACGGCAAGATTACATGCACCTGTGGGGTGTCGGGAGCCACGTAGCAAAACCCAGCAACGTCCGAGTCCTGGAAATAGTGTTATCTTCCAGCAGCACATGGGGGAATGTTCCAAGAGATAAAACACACAAGACGAATGGTGTCTCTAATTGAAAAGCAAAGGAAGAATGGCGCCCACAGAATTCTAAATGCGTGCCTAGTCCCGCTGTCCCTAGATGGGTAGGGTGGACTGGACTAACAAAGCATGGTGAATATTTCTGAACAGAGAGAAGAATGTACATTTCTAGAGGGGCTTACTCCAGGGACCATAAAAATCCGTGCAGATATGGCAACACTGTATTATAATTTCTATTCCATTTATAATTTATTATTTATTCCTCAATATTAATGCGAGGTGCATATGTCTTTATTTGTTAAAGGAGGAAAAGGGTGTTTAGGGAGCCACCCGAGAATTCCTGCCCACGCAATGATGCTGCTAATTATGACGGCGCCCACCGTATAACAGGAAATCACAGCTCGGCGGTTCGGGATCAGGCTCCCACGGCCCTGTCAGTGCAGAGCTGATCTCTGTCTGGCCCAGGCGTCCCGGGCCTGCTCTGTCTTTCTTATACTATGTCACCTAAGCCTTGCTGCCTGCCTTCAGAGACATCCACCCGGGCAGCGTCTCTTCTGGCCGACCAGCGACCCTGGCTGCGCTGTGGTTCGCCCAGGCGGGTGCGGGAAGCGCTCACTCTCTGCAAGGTGTTCTCCCGCCAGAGCCCTGGAGGCACGCAGAGCAAAGCACGCTGCATTTCAGCTTCCCTCTCATCCACTTATTGAATAAACATTATGGTCTGCCCCGGTCCGGGCGCTGGGCAGATAACGGTGAATAAAGTGTTCCAGTGAGAACGCTGATGATAGCCACATCGACAGACAGACGTATAACATAAGGCATAAAGGCAAAGGAAGCTTCATAAAAGAAGACAATGGAGGGTGGAGGAAGGGTGCTGTCTACTGCCAGATGATCACGGAAAGTCTTGCTGAGGGGGTAGCATTGGAGCAAGGACACAATAAAGCAGCTATGGGAACTCCAGCCCACCTAACACTTCCCAGCCCCCACCGTCACTCGGCACTCCGCGCCTCCCCCCCCCCTTGCAGGGCCGCGGCTTTGCCAGGACAAGGGGACAGTCTGCACGTGTCTCAGCCTCGATGTCTCTCCTCTCTCTCTCTCTGTCTCTGTCTCTTCCTCTCTCTCTCTCTCTCTCCACTCTCAGAAATCTCACTATGGAAAGCACTAACACTATGATCTCGATTGAATCTATAAGGCTTAAGTGTTGATATTCAGAAGTGGTGATTTGAAATTTTTTAATGCTTCTCTCTCTGCAAAGCCTGACTTCCAAAACTAAGTCTGACTAAGGAGATCAAGAAATTCCGCCTCTAAAATGTAGAGTTCATCAGGACACCCGCTTCCCGTGGGCACCTGCTCTCCCTTGCTGTGGCACAGCAAGCCTCCTGGCCCAGCCTCAGAAGTCGCAGGCTAGACAGGTGCATGGATTCAGGGGGAAACAAAAGCATATCCATTGACTATCCTCAAAAGTTTCTTCTGTTATTCTATCTATCTCTATACAAAGATTCAACCAGGCACAAACAGTCCCCCCAGGAAGGGGACAGAGACACGTAGACAAGGACGGAGGTTCAATGTGCTCTTTAATCGTGCGTGGTCCACGAGCAACTTCTTCCGTGCTGTCATGTGCTACGGAGAAGCTGCTGCTGTCCTCCGGCAGGGAAGGCAGGGATAGCTGCCCCTCCGTCTGCAGAACGAACTCACACAGGAAACCAGAGAAGGCTTCTTACACACGCATTCCTGCTCTGCAACAGGAGGATTCATTTGGCTCCGAGTCCAGCAGGGTGAAGGCAGAAACTCGTTCCACTCCACGCCTGACCAACCTGTGGACTCCGCAAACAAGCAGGGGCTGGTTACCTGGCCATCTTGCTGTCCTTTGGGACGAACTTTAATTCAGCTAGTCAAGGTGACCGATGTGGGTCTTTTCCTGCCAAACCCCAGCCTTCCTGATCACTGATGAGAAGCGTGCCATCAGACGAAGTTTCTTATTCTTTGCAGAATGGATTCATTCAAATGTATCCTTCTTAGGATGTAGTGAGATGCCTGGCTCTCCAGACTCTAGTCTTTCATACATCGTGGAAAAAAATGTATTCATTATTTCTGAAAGTATTGCCTCCCCTCCAACTTTCTATTGTCTTTGTTTTGTTCTGCAGTTAGAGGTAGGTTACCTCTAACGGGTAACCTGTGAGATCATATTTCTTTATGTCGTTTTTCTGTATATGGGACAAATGATTCCAATCTATCTTACCACCCACCAATTCTTCTTTCATGAGCGTCACACATACTGTTGATTTCATTTCAATTATCTTAATTTCAATGATTACATTTTTCATTTTCAGTTCCTTTTTCTTTTTTCCCCCCTAAAACCTATCTGGTATTTTTGAACCATTCTTTGTCCTTTCAAAAGAATTAATTTTCGTTATTTTTGATGTCTTTGAACATTTCAAAAACTACTTGTTCCACATTGATTTTGGATTTGGGGGTGCCGGACTCCTCTTTGGTGGGGTTAATTTTTGGAGAGTGATTTTACATTCGCCTCTCCCTGGTGGTGCAGGACTTCTCGGTCTCGATTCCCTCTGTCCCAGCCTCAGTCCCTTATGAGTTAGCTCTGCGATTACAAATGTTCAGAGAAGTTCTCACCCTCCTCTTGTTATTAAACTCCTCCCGTGCAGACACAGCTCGGGATCCCTGTCACCCCTGAGCTGGCGGGCAGATTTCTTCCAGCATACTTTCCAGGGAGGGTGCAGCCCATCCGAGGTCTGGCTTTACTGGGTGGATGGAGCAGGAGAGGGGAGCAAGCTCTGGTTTCTGGTGCAAGTGGATCGAGGCCTCACATTCTGTCTCCTGTGGTCATTACACCCAAGCCCCTTGGTACACGGATTGGAAAAGCGTCCCTGCCACCTGCATCCCTGTGCCAGCCTGGTGTCTGCCCGCACTTTGTTCTGCATTCTGGCTACCGCAGACGGCCTCCTTTTTTGTTCAGTTGAGCTTTTAAGTGATGTTTGCAGTTGTGTGTTCAGAATTTCCAGGAGGTTTTGGAGACAACGTTTTCAGGATACTGGTCTAGCACATTGTGGATGTTAAAACTAAAAAAAAAAAAAATTGTTATAATTATTTTCTATGGGGACTCCTGCAAAATTTCCAATGATACAAATCCATTAACAGCCTGCATTTCTCAAACTAATAAAAACCAACCAAACGATTTCCCAATGGATGATACTATTTTTTTTTACGTATCATTATACTTTTACAAAATAGTCATTCTGTCACGTTAAAAAAGCTATCTTCCATTTATATGAAAAGCAACATATGATGGCTACTTCAATGATGTAATGGATTAATTTAATTGATTTCATTTAATTCTGGCAACAACTCCTTTAGGTTGACTTTCTTTCTTTCTTTCTTTCTTTCTTTCTTTCTTTCTTTCTTTCTTTCTTTCTTTCTTTCTTTCTTTCTTTCTTTCTTTCTCTTTCTTTCTCTCGCTCTCTCTCTTTCATTCTTTCTTTCTTTTTTTTTTTTTTGGTATGTTTGTTCTCTAAAAGAGAAAACTGATGGTCAGAATAAAATTGAGCAATTCTTTCAAAGTTCTATTGCTTTTATGTGGCCAAAGTAAGGTCTGAACGCTGGTGTGTGTAAATCCAAAGCCAATTCCTCTTTCCCAGTGACTTTCAAAGTGAGGCTCCCGTTCACCTTCATCAGTAATCACCTGGCACTCCAGAAAACCGCCCAGACCTACTCCACCGCCATCTCTAGAGATGAAGTCAACTACCCTGTTCAAAGTTCATCCCAGGTGACCCTCGCCCCCTAGAGTTTGATAAACTTCTCATGACATCGTGCTGCACTTGTCTGTACCGCTTAAATCAGCTCTCTTAATTGGAGATTGTATGCGAGTGTGGTCAAATCCTCTGGGGAACACAAACTATGACTGTTAGACATTATTTTGGTTGAAATGCAGAAAGCAAATATAAAATCAATAGTACGTCAGAGACATGGGAGAGAGCTCCCGGGGAATTCGCAGGAGGAGACTTCCCTTGGTACCCACCTCTGTCAAAGTGTGGCATGCACACTTGCCACTTTCTTGTGCTTTTGAATTTTTGCATGGTCTGGCGTCCCAGAGCACCTCAGAGGTAAGCCAAGATAGGATGGTGTGTGGCCTCAGTAGAGGGAAACGCCCAGGGTGAACAACAATGAGCTAGAAGGGATGAATATTTGAGGGAAGAAACAGACAAGAGAGGGAGATGGAGCATCCACAGGTTGGCTCTGGTCAAGAGAATTGGGGTTTATTTCCTGCCTTGAACAGTCGCCTCCTCTCTGAATCTTCATGTCCTCAGTTGGGCAGTGGGGATAGAAACCACTGCCTTGAGTCAGAAACCGGGAGGAACAGTGCTCTGGAAAGAATGGGGTCATGTTGCTAATTGTGTCACTGTCCCTAACAGGCACACAGCCTGGTGCTGAGGATGGCACCTTGCCCAGCTCAGCCCAGCCAGGCGCCGAGACGTCAGTCACATGGAGGCTCCCGGAACCACCCCAATGTCTAGCACAGTCCACCTGCCTCGTTTTACCTTGAGCCTGCACTAGCTCCACAGGAGAAAGGGCAGGGCAGTCTGACCCGGAGGCAGGTGTGAGGGCTCATGAGAAGCCCTTCTTTGATTCACAAGATCCAATTGCCCAGGGCAGCGGTCCCCAGCCCTTCTGGCACCAGGGACTGTTTTCATGGAAGACAGTTTTTCCATGGACTGGGGAAGGGGGGGATGGTTTGGGGATGACTCAAGCACGTTACATTTGCCATGCACTTTATTTCTGCTATTATTACACTGTAATATATAATGAAATAATTATACAGCTCACCACAGGTTGGGGACCCCTGGCCTAGAGCATATAGCAATCGCGTATGGCATACGGCACCGATAGCATTTCAAGAGGCCTTGAAAATATATTTTTCAGGCAAAGGAAAGACATTCCTAGTGGAGAGACACGCACAAAGTTGAAAAGACCCAAATGTAGCTGCTTATGGATGGGGTACAGCCATCTGTTGGTGGGGGTGCCTTCAAGTCTGCATAGGTGCACGGAAAGGTTAATGGCACATAGGCAAAAACTCGAGTGCCATGCTAAGGAGCTCATTCTATATGTGCTGGGAAACATTAGCTTTGTATGGGAAAGCTGCATCTGGAGGCAGGGTAGAAGACAGACTGGAAAGTAAGGAGTGACTTGGATGTAGGAAATCCATTAGATGCGTTGGAAATCATGCCGGCAAGAATCGATCAGGGCCTGAATTTGGGCAGTGGAACTGGGCATGGGAGGGAAGTGGGAATCGCAATAATATTTTAGCAGCAAAAGAAACAGGATTCAGTAAACCCAGATTAAGGCAATTAAGGGTGAGGGGTCTACTTTGGGCTAACTGTGGGAATAACTGTCACGGATTAACGATGGGCAGTGTGGAGAGGATGCAGGCTGTGGGGGCAGGTGGGCAGGAGAAAGTAAAGACACTCCCTGCATTTAGATGGCGGGAGGCCATGGCCCCTGCAGAACGGGCAGGGCAGGGCTGGCCAGCACACTTTGAGACTGTGTCCTGGATTCAGCAGAGCGGTGTGAGCTGGGCATACACATTTCCCAATGCCAGCATACAACTGGAAATTAAAGTCTTAAGTGTCGTGATGGGCAAGCCGATGTACCAACTTGACTGGGTTTAGGGCTGCCCAGACAGCCGGTAAAACAGAATTCCTGGGCGTGCCTGTGAGGGGGTTTCTGGAAGAGGTGAGCATTGGAATTGGTAGACAAGTGAATCAATATCACCCTGCCAAGGTGAGTGGGCATCAACCAATCTGCTAAGGGCTTGGAAAGAACAGAATGGCAGAGCAAGGGTGAACTTGCTGTCTGCACGACCCGGACACCTGTCTCTGCCTGTGCCTGGACATCGGTGCTCCTGGTTCTCGGGCCTCTGTGCTGGGACTGGAACTCCGCCATCCGCTTTCCCGGGCCTGCGGCTCGCAGACAGCAAATCTCCCCGTGCATCCTATATATCCTATCGGTTTTGTCTCTCGGGAGAACTCTGACTGCTACCGGTGTCCATGAGCATATTGAGGGAAACGTACAGAGTTAGGTGGAGAAAGGCAATTCGAGGAATTGTGAAAAATGGCAAGTCTTAAGAAGGGGTCAAATAGTAAGCCCGGTCAAAAAGCTACTTTAAGAAAAGATACCCACAGAAGAAAGACGGAAAGTGGAAGTCACTGGTGCAATGAGTCTCTGGGTGTGTTGTGACCAGCCTCGTAACCGCTACTTGGGCCTGGGGATGGGGTAGGGGCGGGTTCGGATCTGGCACATCCCAGTCTCCACGTGATGCCCAGGCCAGCCATGCACCGTGACAGTCAACCCAGTGCAGGGCGGGGAAGGAGCCACAAGTCAGCGAGATGCAGCCCTTTCCCTACAGAGAGATGCCCTCTGGACCCTACTGAACTGGCCGCCTATGTGCATTGCTGCGTGAGTGTACTTGTGGGTACATGCATACCACGTACATGAGTGCACGTGGTATGCACATGCATGAACAGACGTGTTTGTTTAGTTTTTGAAATTAATTCCCTGTTTTCAAGCTTTGTTCCATCATAGAATTGAGCGGACTTCTTCCCATAGACATGATAGGCCGCACCCACCCGTCTGCTCTGTTTTACACGAGGTCACCTGCCATTTCAACAGCCACATCTTTCTTGACCTGTCTCCTTTCGTTAGTTAGTTTGATTTTCCCAGCCGCCAGCTCAGATTCCACTGGGGGGTGGGGGGAAGGTGGTGGACATGACCACGAATGCTCACAATCTATTGGAAATGCTAAAAGTCATGAGGATTTTTCAACCTGCAATTTTTTTTCTGAATACATTCAACTGAATGATAATTTTTTTTTAAGTCTCTGTTTTTCTCTAGGCAGCGGTGATAGATAAATCTGGGCCTGGGATACTTTTATCTGAATAATTAAAAGCATATAATGAAACTGCCCTCTCAGCACCACAGACCCAATGAGCTTTGGGCTGATAATGGAATAATCAAATAATCGGAGCACAAGGGCGTCCACGGAGCTCCGGAGCAAGCAGGGCCAGCGCACCATGAAAGGTGACATCGAGGACCACGTGAGGGGACAGAGGCTGAGAAGGGTGCGTCCCCCAGCACCCAGTGCAAGGTGGGACCAGAGATCACAAGTGTGGCAGGAGGTGCATGGCAGGGTGCAGCACAGGGGAGGTGGGTGTGGAGAGAGGACCAGGTTGGAAGGAACAGGTGTCTAATGAGGACTGCATCAGGGGGCAGTTTCCTGGCAGGGGACAGCCACTTCATCCTGCTCCTCTTACAGCTTCTTAGGCCATGAGTCATTTTGCAAGAGAAGCAGCCCAGACAAGGGTGTCTGACTTGCACTTTCTTTGTACTCCTGCACAAATAAGTAATGACCTCGGCTTGCCGATTCATAGCATGGGCCACGGCACCAACAGGGCACTGGGGTATAAAGCGCTTGGTCCCTGGGCATCAGCCACTGCAGTCTGGGTGGTCTGAGCCACATGAGAGCACCTGGGCCAGGCTGGGTGGGTGCGCAGCAGCCTCCTTTGGCTTTGGAGACAGGAGGCACATGGGGGAAGCTGCACATCCGTCCTCTCCCCTGGAGACCTGGCAAGGCAACATCTGTGAGGAGGGGAGGGGACGGGCACGCCAGCAACGCCCCAGCACAATTCTGGCAGCAACACGATTTCCAGGAAGGCAGACAGGCAGGACACGGCTCACACACCGGCTTGCAGAATGGAGTAAGCACCAAACCGTTTCAAGCAACAACCCCCATGCTCACACCACACAACTGGGCTGTTCAGAAAATAATTTAAGCCCACGTCACTGGCCCTAATTCCTTGCTACACGCTGCTCCGGAAAATGAAATTCTTCTGCTAAAGGAAAACACTGTGCGCCCCGCTTTCGGGCACAGAAGCAGACTGGTGTTTAGCACGGAGATTGGGTCGAGGAAGGGGCCCCTGGTCTCCACGCCTGGTGCCCAGCGTGGCCGCGTACCTGAGATGCTTAGAAGGAACGGCGTTTCCAACCTTCCTTCAGTAACTGGAATTGCGTGGCTCACACGCTTTTTTGATGTGGTTTTCATAGAATTGTTCAGAGCACAGGAGAAAGAGAAAGAGCGAGGGAGCCTGCCTGAGGCCGCCCCTCTGGAAAACCACGGTGGGCCCCAGCAGAGCTCTGGCAGTCACGGTGTGAAGTCGCTCTGGCACTTGCTGCTGGGACGGCAGATGGAGCAGGTGCGCCCCGCGGGAGGAGCCTGGGGAAGAGAGGCCCAATCAAAGACCACTGTCCCAGCCTGCATCCGAAAGGCTGCGAACTGCCCCTCGCAGGCCTGCTTTTCCCTTTGCCCAGAGGCTTTTTAACTCTTTTCACAGTGGGTCGTTGTCCTCCCTGCAGCCCAAAGGGATGAGGCCGGGGCTATTATTTCCCTTGTGGACAAATAGCCCGGCAGAGCCGACTGCAGGCCCAATAGGCCCTTCTACGGCGACTGTGCAGTTGGAGTGGCTCTCAGGGACGGGCCTCTGCTGCTGCCAGCCGGCCTATCTCTGATCGTCACTGGGACACAGCCGTGGTCAGCTGCAGTCCCTGCCCTGACCATCTACACCAACGGCCATGGTCAGCTGCAGTCCCTGCCCTGGCTGTCTACACCAATGGCCATGGCCAGCTGCAGTCCCTGCCCTGGCTGTCTACACCAACAGCCATGGTCAGCTGCAGTCCCTGCCCTGGCTGTCTACACCAACAGCCATGGTCAGCTGCAGTCCCTGCCCTGGCTGTCTACACCAACAGCCATGGTCAGCTGCAGTCCCTGCCCTGGCTGTCTACACCAACGGCCATGGTCAGCTGCAGTCCCTGCCCTGGCTGTCTACACCAACGGCCATGGTCAGCTGCAGTCCCTGCCCTGGCTGTCTACACCAACGGCCATGGTCAGCTGCAGTCCCTGCCCTGGCCGTCTACACCAACAGCCATGGTCAGCTGCAGTCCCTGCCCTGGCTGTCTACACAAATGGCCATGGTCAGCTGCAGTCCCTCCCCTGGCTGTCTACACAAATGGCCATGGTCAGCTGCAGTCCCTCCCCTGGCTGTCTACACCAATGGCCATGGTCAGCTGCAGTCCCTGCCCTGGCTGTCTACACCAATGGCCATGGTCCACTGCAGTCCCTGCCCCTGCCGTCTACATTGGCAGCATGTGCCCCAGCTCCCAAGGCTGAGGATTCTTTCTGTTCCCCAGGGATTGTGGGTCCATGTCCCTTACAAGCAGGGGCTGGGCCTTTGCCAGCCTGTGGGCCCCCCTCATCCCTGCACCCACCACCCTCTCCTGCCACCTGTGATGGTGGTGGCCTCACACCCTCTGATTTCAAATATGGACACATGGCCCCAGAAGGAAGCTAGGCGCCCCTGGGACCGGCCCTCTGGTCTTAGGGACAGGAACAACTGGGGCCAGGAGGGAAGTGACTTTGCAGGGTGAGTCTGTGGCACAGCCAGGCTGTGCGCTGGGCAGCAGTGATTCCCAGTGCCCGAGCTGGGAGAGCCGTCCTGCGGCCTCCAGGAGAGGGGCCTGGCCTGGAGAGAAGGTGTAGCCCCCCTACCTTCCTGACCGGGAACCCCAAGGCCTGGGGGCTGCCTCGCAGGAGGAGGCGCTGAGCTCAGACCTGCTGCTGGGAGAGCCTGGGCCTTGGCCACGTTGCATCTGGCAGCAGGACGACACCTGCCTGGCCGGCCTCTAGACCAAGGGAAATGGGACAGGAGAAGGGCGGGTGCCTTCTTGGAGGAGGAGTGTGTCTGGAGGGACCGCAGGGTGGGGCAGGGAGGCAGAGGTGCTGACTCACACTTCCCTCCAGGGCAGGAGCATCACAGAGCCCCTGACCTATGTAGCGTCTATTTTCCCCTGCCTAATTTAGGATCATTTATGATAACAGAAAATAAAAATATTTGTTCAACAACTCTGTCTACAACCGAGACCCAGGGAGGTGACGTCATTTGTCTAAGGTTGTATAACTAATGAGTGGCAGAGCCAGGACCCTGTCAGTTACATCACCTCCTTAATTTGAATCAATTGCAAAGCTTTGCGAATTTTTCAAATAAGCATGTCTTTGGCATTTTATGACTTCTTTATGTTTAATCTGGAGGAACTTATTTGCTTTAGATAATTACTAAGGGCATGGTATCCACTGGCGAACACACACAAGACTGGTTGTAATTCCTATGTATGAAGCTCCTGCCGTGTGCCCCGTGTTTTCCCTGCATGAACGGCCTTGCGCGCCACAGTCCGGCAAGGTGGGCACTGCGGCTCCCACCTGCTTTTAGGACGCTCTCGCTGAGAAGGACGGCGTCTCAGAGTGGCTGCAGAAAGACCAGGCACGAAGCGGACAGAAACCGCAGGGAACGCCCAGATCTGCCTGGCTCCGCGGTCAACGGGCATAACTGCCCTAATACCGGGAAGCTCCTCGACATTCATCTATTAACAAAAGCGAGACGCAGGGAACCATTTCAGTCCGCAGGATGGGGAAGTGGAGAGCATGGGAAACGGGCCGAGGACGCTGGCCAGTGTCGCTGGGTCCAGACGCCTCGTGAAAACAGTCCCGTCTCTCTCTTTCTCGCAGCCCAGACCTGACTCCCGTCCCTGGATCTCCGGGCCCAGCACGTTTTCTACTGAAACGCTGCAGAGAGGAGACGGCTCCTCCTGGGTAACCGTGCACAGCCACGGGGAGCAGACGGATTCAAGCCCCACCGCGCGGACACACACTGTCGCTCCAGGGACTCACTGGGCTGGGAGTTCAACCCCGCGGAGTTTGACACCACAGGCGGGGTGGGAGGGTGGGCAACAGAATAACCTGATTTGCAGACAGGAGAGTCTCTTGCCATGCACGTGCTTCCTGCTTCTCTTAAATGTTTCCGTGCTCATGCAGAGCTTCTCCTTTACTCATATAAGCACAGACTGCAGAAAAACTTTACTACCTAAAACTCTGTTGGAAATTGCCAGCATCATTCCAGGGGAGCATTTTGATTCAAGACCACCACGAACATACATGGTACGGTCAGAGGCCTGGCGGAGGCCAGGATGTGGGCCCGGGGCCAGGGCTGCATTTCATACGTGCACATACACACTCAGGCTGCCCTGTCTACAATCCACCTTGACCCCAGGACTAAATATCTAAGTTTCCCCCTGGTGATGTGAGCAGAGACAAGGCCTTTATAGTACTGTGGCTGCGGAAGGGAGTTTAGATTTGCGTCTGTTAATAAATCACTACTTTCTAAACAGCAGTGTGACAACTTGGAGTATTTTTAAATTTTTTATGTGTTCTTTCAGCCTTCATTGAACGCCAACCCTGTGCTTGTGCTCACCGGTCTCTTTTGCCCTAATAACCCTGCCATGGCACATATGTGCGATGTGGACTCTTCGCTCTCCTGGGAGGATTTTAACACGGAAAGCATCTCCCTGTTGGGAAAAGGCGAACACATTCCATGTCTCCCAGAGTCCAACCCAGTTCGAAACAGGAGTGAGGCTTCCTCAGACTTGTTTTTCCCTTCTGCCCGAATGTCCTTTGTGAGACAAAGCTCCAAGGATGGAAATTAGCCGCTTCTGTCCTGAGAATCTTCCCAACCCTCCTCTTTCAAAGGGATTGTCCGGCGGGGTCTGGGACGGCCACAATGCGGACACGCACGGCTGGCCGGGCCTCGCTTCAGTAGAGAGGCTTTCAAAACGTGCTCCGTGGGCCTGAGAGAGCTCTCTTCTCGGAGGTTTAGGCCTGGGCCCGGGACTGCTCAGGGCAGCACGCAGGGACTGTTCTCTTCCAGATTTAAGAAGACCCACAGGCATTGGAAACATGGAGAATTCAAAACCCGTGTTGTCCAAGGGACAGGGGAGAGGAAAGAGAGAGAGAAGGAGGCAGAGGAAGAAATTTGTAACAAGAAGGTCACCTCCACTCAGAGGGGAATCCTGGAAACGTCCCTCCTCCAGACATCAGGGTGGGTCCAGTTGCCAATAATCCTTTCTTCCTGGAAAATAAAATCCAAGTGGTTAGCAAATGCCAAGATGAATAAAGAAAATGAGCTGAATAAGCGGCCAGCCGGGCCGGGCTACCCGGCGGGCGTGTGCCAGGGAGCCCCAGGTGCAATCGCCAGCTCTTTAGGGCTGCAGGGCGCCGCTTCTCTGCTCGAAAACCCAGCCATCGCCCGGAGAGTCAGATCGATTGGAGCCCACCTTTGGTGAGAGCGATGCTATGACTGCGGTTGTAATTTATGCGCAGAAATGCTGCGGCGCACGATGATTAAATTATACGCACAAGGCAGGATTTCTAGAGCATGTTCCCCCCTCTGGGTTTCTCGCTTTTATCTATGTTGAGATCAGGTCTGTGAAAATTCGGTGCACGTGGTTTTCAATTGGAAAGAGAGAGTATTTCCACATGTGTCTGTGTATTTTTGAAGGGGAGAGAGCGACGCCACCATTTGGAGATCCAGCCGGGTCTAGGGGGCAAAGGCAATGTGATTATTTAAAAAAAAAAAGAAAAGAAAAGTAGGCAAAGGGGTTTTTCCTGAGACCTGGCGGGGTGAAGCTGTGCGGTATAAATAACGCAAAAACAACAGCACACTGTCACTTAGGTCCACAAACACCAGAGGCTTCACCATGCAGGGGACATGTGCTGGAGGCAGACGCCAAGGTGAGGATATGGGGCTGACCCAGACGACACTCAGCAGCTTGCCTCGTGGCTTTCACTCGCATGCACTTGGCCCCCCTGCCCTGTCCCACACCAGCCACCATCTCTGGGTGACAGCAAGACTCAGTGGCCGGGGGCAACTTGGGCCTCCTTGTGAACTGCTTCCTGGGCCTTGGGCCAGGTGGACAAAGCTAGTCTCCCACGAACCCCAAGGGGCTCCTCTCTCTGCTGTGTTTCTAGTTTCCTGAAGTCACTCAAGAACTCCCTAGCTATTGGATTTGTACTTAGGAATCTTCATTTTGGGTTCCGTGTGTCATAAAATACCCCGTTACTGTCTTCCCCCAAACACCCACTGCTGGCACCCCTGTAAACTGTGTGAGAGAGGGGTGAACATTCTGTTTGCCAAGCTCTTGGAGATCTTCCCTGAAGTGCTTTCCCGCCCTAGTCTCCCTCCTGGGTGAGCTGGGGACAGCACGCTGATGCAGGTCGAGGTCTGCAATCAGCTCTCGGTCACAGGTCACCTTCCTATAGCCACTGGCTCTCAGGGACCTGGTGAATGACACCCATGTCTGTTTCTCTGGGAGATTCCAGAGTTCTTCACAACCATGGTGGGTCCCCTCCCTGTCAAGCCTAGTAAAAAGCCAAGTCCAATTCTCCTCTCAATAGTCTCTCTCTTCAGTGTCACCACTGGCATTGGCTGCTCCTACCTGTCACCCCGCAGAACCTCATGCTACTATCACTTTCTCCCTGGCAGCAACCAGCGTGATCGCTCTCAGCAAACCCAGGCTCTCAAAAATAATAATTGTACCATCTCCTCTTTGCCAGGGAACTTCTCCCCTTGGCCTTGTGACATAAAACCATTAGCAATCACCAACAGCAAGAAAGCACACTCTCGTGGTCACCAAAGGGGGAAAAACACAGCAGCATCTCAGGAATTTGCCTTACACATTTCATTATCACCATTGTGTCTATGTTTAGCCCGGGGGTTCTCGGTCAAGGCCAGGAGGGGAATGGCAAACGGGTCTCTCCTCTCCTTCAACTCCAGGGGTGCAGGGACTTGGGGCCGGGTTGGTGGCCTCGTCTTGTCACAGGTGAGTGATTCGCAGGATATTGGTCTGTGCTTCGGCTTCTCTGGGAGCTCTCTGTCTGCCTCCCGCCTCTCCCCCAGGTAAGACTGCTGGGGGTGAGGTATGGCCCTGCCCGCCCCGGGAGTGGACAGACAGCTCTTCTCTGCAGGAGCACAGAAGGCCTCGTGTGTTCAGAAATCAGCAAAGTGTAAGACAGTGAGGTCTCAGCTCTTAATCTCAATTCTCGTCATCAAATCATCTTATATCAGCTACAAGAATCACCCCCAATATTGCATCGAAATTTCTCCTCTGGTAGCACATTCCTTCTCTGCACAGTGAAGAGTTGGCATGGCCCTCACCTTGATAACCATTACCTCAGGCACCCTGAGGGCAAGGGGAGATGCAGGAGGACAACAAAGCCCGCTAACGTGATCTGGGGTGTCCTGGCAACGGAGTGACGCTGCAGGAGGCCTGGACATCATCCCCTTCTGAGACCGGACAGCCTAAGCGGAAACCAGGGACATGCATCGGGCACAGAGCGGGCAGCAGAGCTGTCTCCATAAATCACAGCCCGCAGGCCTTTTACTGTGTCGGCGTAACCCGGCCGTTAACCATATTTAATTACCATCTACAGCGAGTTCCGCACATCGTTACCGTACTGGCCATTTTTCAGGGATCCTCGTTAGCACGGGGCCAGCGCACACAATGGAAGCTGTGACAGGGCACCGGCCAGGGGAGCGCTGCAGAGAGGGGCTCTCGCGGGTCAGCGGCTCTGGAGGAGACCCGCAGTGCGCCCTGGGCTCGCCCCGCTGCAGTGCACGAGGCGAGAGAAACAGGCCGCTGTCCGCGCTGGCTCCTCTCTGTGTGCGTCAGTCCCTCACACACTGTCCCTGGCCGGGACAGGAGAGATCTGGCCACCACCACAGCCCCCACCTGGAGATCCCGAGTGTAGCACCTCACCGTGGACACTCGCAGTGACACCGAGTCCAACGGCAGGTGTACTGTGCCCCCGCCCAGTACCAGGTGCTGTGTTAGGGCGTCGGGATTCCAGGTCGGCTCAGACACAGTCCCCAGGGACCTTACAACCAGGGGACAAAGCTCACAGAGACAGGAGACATTCCAGTCCAGCCCACTTGCTTTATACTTCAGTGACTCTATTTTTAGTGCTGTCATTACCTTATTTTTTTCTTAAATCCTGTTGTTGAAATTTGGGCCGCATTACTTTCTCCCTTTAAAATGCTTTTTGAATGATCAAAGGTCCACTTTGAACTGTCGACTGTCTGTAGGTCCTCAGAGGTGGATTCTCTGTTCCCCCTCACGGCGCTGCCTTCCCACGGGAGCTCACCTCCCTTAGGAACCGTCCTTCCCGCGAGCCCCAGAGCCGCCCTGAGTTGTACAGGCGTCTGGACTGAGGCGGTGATTTTTTTTACTGGGCTGAGTGGATTGCAATCAGTTCCAGATCACCTCTTACGTTAAATTCTTGCCAAGACTCCCCCGAACAACACAGGCAGTGAGAACGGAGGTGCACACACAGATGGCCACGTTTGGTGCCCAGTTCGTCTGTGCGACTTCTGTCCCAGACCCAGCCCATGACCAGCATCGGCTTTGCGCTGCGTTCCCTCACACGGAAGGCTGAGCACTGCCCGTTTCTGTTCAGAGACACGATGACTCTATCCCGTTCCAGACTTTGCAAGGCTCTCGGTTCTCACACACGTTGCCGCGAGCTCCGTGAACACCCCCTGCCCCCATCACTGAATTCTAATGAACTGGTTCATAAGCCAGTAGCCAAAATAGCATCTTCCCCAAAACGCACTGCAGGAGTGTGACCTCAAGGACCGTAAGACACAGAAAGTGCTCTCGGTGTTCGCGGAAGAAAAGGCGTCTGTCGCTATCACAATTCCTCCACTAACCAGGTGAGTCCCGGAGGACGGGACCGAGAGGGAGCCAGGCCACGCTCCTTGCACCTGCCACGCCTTGGTTCAGAGCCACAAGTGCCACTGCCCAGGCCGAGCTACGCTAATGCTCAGGTGTTTACCCTCCTTACAAGTGAAGCGAGGACCGTAAGATGACTTCAAAGGGTTGTTATAAAATAACACATGTGAAGCATTCACGAGGATATCTGGCATGACAGGTGCTTGGAAAACTGTAGCTATTAGTATTAGTATTGCTGTAAATATAAGATTCATAAAACCCAGCAATGACACCATTGTGAGACAGTCTTAATAACATGTATCAGAGGATGCTAATAACGTGCAACGGTTCTCCCACATGCCACTTGCAGGACCAGAGAGCGAGACACGGCTGCTGGCATCCTCCTCAGCCCCAGACAGCGTCATGTTAGACACACGGGTAACTGGAAGGGCTACTCCATAGGTTTGTCACTCTAAACAAATACGAGTGTTCAAGAAATGCAATCGGTGATTCAGACCATGGCCCAGAATACCTGGTCTTGGCTTTGCGGATGTTTGCGGTGCGGGGGCTGCCTGTGTGCCAAGTCCCCGAGAGCGTTTCTGTGGCACATGTGGTCTGTTCTGCCCGCAGTGCCGCATCTGTAGCTGAAGCCCGACCAGCAGGGTCTGTGATGCTATGACAGGCTGAATCCCACGAACAGAACACAAGCGCAGGGAATGTTCATACCGACTGCAAACGGGCTGCTGGGAGACGTCGTGGGGTGAGGGTTAACGGGTGCACACGGAGTGTGGGTTAGTTAGAGAGACTAACTGTGCCGGGAGGGTGGTTGAGGCTGGCTTAGCCTTAGACTCCCCTAGAGAGTTGCTTTCCCCCCAAATCTCTCATGTCTGGGCCTTTCCTTAGACCCAACTGAGCCAGAATCTCCTAGGTTAGAATCCAGTTATGTGAGTTTCACACCAAGGATCCTGCTCTGAACTCTGGATGGAGAACCACTAACGTGAACAAAGCCCCCATTTTGCACATGGGAGACGAGATCGGGATGGATAACGTCATTTGCCATGGTCACCCAGCTCACTGGTGTCACAGCTGGCTGTGGAACCTGTGGACTTTGACCCCTGTTCTGAAGAAGTTTCCATAATCCCAGCCGGCTGGAAACAGCGTAGAGCTCGGAGAACCGAGTCCTGCAAGTGTGCAACCTGGCGAAGTCCAGTCTTTGGGTGGCAGCGGAGACCAGCGAGGAAGGAAGGCCTGGGGTGGGGCTCTGCATCTCGTTTTTAGGAGGAGAAGCCCCCACTTCCAGGTGGCTCAGGAGGTCGTGGCCACGTGGAGGTGCGGCCGAGGCTGGGCAAGGCGAGGGCAGGTG